TATCTGCCATTCCTCTCAGAGTTATTCCCCTATCTTGTTCTCTAGTCTTCAGAATGAGTGAAAAACCAAATCAAACTCTCAGAAGCCGTAGAAGAAGGGTTTAATTTGTTATTATATTTGTATGATCGTCGAGTATGTGGTCTTGATCTTTTTCTCTTTCCAACATACTTTTTTCTTCTACGTTATCCTGAGTAGCCGGAGCCTTAGATCTGGAAATCCATTCATCTACAAACTGGCTTAATGGGCAGATTGGTGCCAATACCATTTCCTCCCAGGTGAATCTTAACCCTCTTTCCAGAGCTGGCTTGTCAATCGCTCATGTAAAGTCCTTTTAGGACCTTCCGCAACGGAACGAAATCTGGCCAACTTCCTCATGTCTGCTTCTTAGGTCTACAGATCTGAGCCGTAAGGTTTCTAGAGAGTTTCCTTCTGCAACGAAACCCCAAACGATGGTTGCCGAGTGGACTCCAGCTCACAGCAGTCCTAGGTAGGGTTTCTGCACTTTCGTAAACCTTTACGGAAGCAGGCAGTCTCGTCTGTCTCCCGAGGAGTGGCTCGTAGGTTTGAAGCCCCGGCTGTATGCTTAGCAGTCTAATTGCTAACTGGGTAACCATTATTGCTACCAGGGCTCTTGCTGCCTTTAGGGAAGTAAAAAAAATATTTCAAAGCTATCGGGAAAATGGGATCTTATAATTCACCAGGACATCTGGGTGTCTTCACTTGCTGACAATATTTGGAGCTGGTGTGATAAAGAAATGCTGGTATCCTCTAGTACGATGTCCGCTTTAAAAGCAGAATTAGCCAATGGACATGCATCATTGGCTGACTTACCAGAACTTAATTGGAAGACCTTAAAAATGATGATTTGGATGCACCATAATTTTTTCCATCCTTCCCTTCTGTGTAAGGAGGTTTATCTGCACTTTCAAATACAATTTTCGGGCACTTAAAATGTTAATTGCAGAAAGAAAATGAAGCTTTAGCAGCACATCTGTGACCAGCATGCCATTAATCATGTATCCTTTGCCAGGCTCTGGACTTCTTTTTGTCTCCTTCAACAAAACCAGCGAAGATGGAAAAAATGTTTCTCCACTTAATGAAAACAAGTAACTTACTTATTTTTCAACAAGACTCATAATTGAGCTTATTAAAAATGCTTAATGGTTCAAAAATGTTTGGAAAACAGGAAAGCATTTTTTAACTGAAGTAGATGAGTGGTGTTCTATATTTAGGATCCCCTTTCATCCCCGAAACTTGATTTCTACCCGGATCCTTCCTGAGAAGTAAAGGATCTGTGAAAATCGGACCCCGGGGACAGAGGAAACCAGAATTCATCCAAGAGCCACCCGTTCTGGGATTGAAAGGTGAACGAATGGAAGTGCTGTTGGAAGGAAGATAAAAGCATTCAAGAAGTGATGAGACACAGTAGAAGAGAGTTTTCTGTCTTTTCAACACAGCGTCAAAGTGGATTCTCCAACTCCCTGCCTACATTGACTGAGGAAGAGCCAGTCCTGATTCTGGGCAAGTTTAGGAAAGAGCGGAGTACAGTAGCAAGGAAGGGGCCGAAGAAGGGCTCACACAGGTAAGGCCAAGTCTACACCAGGACTCCCCATCCTTTCTAGTCTAGCAGATACCACCTGACCACTCACAGGAATTATCTAGATATTGGAAGATGCCAACTTCACCCTATTAGAGACTGATTTGACTGGTCTGTGTTATAGCCTAATTATAAGAAATGCTAAGAGCTCTAAGTAACTCTTCTGTGTAGCCAAAGTTAGGAAGCACAGGACTTATCTTTAATAACCCAATGAAGCAGAATTATGGGGAGAGGATTCCGATTTTTAACAATCTTTTGTTGTAAATCAGATAGGGGGTCACATTTTAGGTCATCAATTTTGTATTTAACTGTTTAAACTACTCATCAAACACACCCATAGTTGACCCTTCCTTAATTTATCTTCTCTTATGGATTGCTGGTTTCCATTTCACCCAAGTTAATATCATCCGTAGTCTAACCCCTTGTTTAAACTTAACCTCCCTTGACCTTCCTCCTTGGTCATCCCCAAAGTCTGGTCCCATTGGTATAAAAATCCTCTTGTGCCCCCATCCCCACCCCCGGCGGAAGTCTTATAAATTATGTCTCTGCTTGTGATTGGCTGATTTCACTCAGCACACTGTTCTGCAGTTTCATCCATGCCATGCAGTGTTTGGTGGTCTCACCACATAGCACACATTTCACTAATTCAATCACAATCAAACGAGTGGTACAACCATCACCACTACCGATTCCAGGACATTTCTTCTTCCTTGTACTGTAATACTCAAGCATAGGCCGACCCGAATATCAGTTGAGGCACCTAATTTTACCACAGAAACTGCATTTAAAAATGTGCTGAAAAACTCGGCTTATACATGAGTATATATGGTACTCATTGCGAGCTCTCCATTTCCCTCCCACTTTCCCTGCCATGTTCCTTTGAAATTATTAATTTATTTGCTGTTTCTAAATGTTTACCTATCCCTGGTTTCATATGAAGAAAAACATACAAAATCAAAACAAAACACAAACAATGACAGAATGAAGTAGCAAAAAACCTCAATCGAAAACAAAGTAGCAAATATTAAGAACTGGAAATGTTCCAGTCGCCTATTTTTGTCATCGATTGTGTATTTCTTTCATTACATTTGGTAGGGTGTCTACATTACATTTGGTAGGGTGTCCACGCTTGGCGTTTGTCCCTATTTCTCGCTGACGATGTTTATAGTTCTGGGACACACAAGGATGGCTCATTAGAGAGCCATGCGATGCAATGCACGGCATGTACAAAACAGATGATAAACTCCATATGATTGTATCAATTAACCCAGGAAAGGCATTTGATGATGTCCAACACTCATCCCTGATAAAAACATGCAAAAAAAATAGAAGTGGAAGGGGAATTTCTCAGTACAATAAAGGCCAGATGTGCAAAAGCATCAGCCAACATCTCGCACAACGGAGAGAAACTGCAAGCATTCCCCTGGCGGACAGGAACCAGACACGGATGCAGCTACTCAGCGCTCTTATTCAACGGGTTGCAAAGTCTTAGCCAGAACCGTTACATAACAAAAAGAAACAAAAAAATTACAGACTGGTAAAGAAGAAATGAAACTCACTATTTGCAGATGATAGGATTTTATATGTAGAAAATTTCAAGGACTACTCAAAAATATCAATGCTACCCAAGGCCATCTACAAACAACCACAATTCTAACCCTGATCCTAACTTTGCGCTTTAAAGAAGTGGATAAAATGTGTGCTGATTTCATACGGAGCAGGCTAAATGAAAGAAGCAAAAACGTAAGAGGCCTTGCACTTCCCAATTTCAAAACCTCTTACACAGCCACAGTCATTAAAACAGCCTCTTACATAGACCAATGGAACAGACGAGAGAACCCCAAATACATTCTTCTACCTGCAGACAACTGATCTTTGACAGAAAGCCCCAAAGCATGAAATGTGAGAGGTCGTCTCTTCAACAAATGGTCTGGGCAAAATTGCATCTCCATCTGAAGAAAAAGGAAACAGAACCCACACTTCAATCCATGGACCAAAAGGAACTCAAGATGGATCAAAGGCCCCAACGGTGCTTGTCCTCTTACCTTCCACCCAGTCCCATCCTGCCCACCAAGCTGCAGGTTCCTCATCTTAAGGGCTTATGTCAGTCTGGGCACTTTAGAGAAACAAATCCACAGAAACTCATGTGTAAAAGATAGTTTTATATAAAGGTTAAGTGTGCATCAAGAAAACATCCCAACCCAGTGCTGCCCAAGCCCACACGTCCAA